TTTATTTTTTTTTATATATATATATATATATATAAAATGTAGTCTATTTTAAAAGCTGAATTTTCAGCAGTCATTTTGTCTTCAGTGGCACATGATCATTCAGAAATCATTCTAATACGCTGATTTGGTGCTCAAGAAACGTTTATTATTATTATCAATTTTAATGTTAATCTATTTTATATTTTTGCTTCATTTTTTTTCAGCATTTGATGAGTAGAAAAAAAAAAGCATTTATTTTGAAACAAATTTTCTGTAACATTCTGTAACATTAGTGTGATTTTTGATCAATTTAATGCATCCCTGCTAAATAAAAGTATTAATTTCTTACCTTTCTATTAATTTCTTAACTTTTTTTGTTTTGTTTTGTTTTGTTTTTACTGACCCCAAACTTTTAAACAGTATTGTGTATAATTGAAATAGAATGCACATATGGACTGTCTATCTCATGTGGGCTAATTGTATATTTTATTATGCTTTTTTGGATTCATTTTGGAGATTGGCAGGTCATTATTAATTGTATGGAAATAGTTGCATGAAGATTATTCATAATTTTTTTTTATTTTTTTTTTAATGGGTTCAGAACAAATTATGTGAGTGAGTACATAATGATACATTATCTAGCTCCTCTATATCTACTAGAGGAAGGTACTGGTTTAGCACTAGACCAATCAAACATAACAAAGACAAAGACAGCCAAACTCAGTTACGTTTCCCATGTCTTACACAGTGATAATGATGAGAAACCACTGAAAAGCAGCCAGCATTCATTGAATGGTGACTTGAAAGGAGGGGACAGCGGAGACAGCATGGTGGACTACGGCGACGAGGACGCTCACTTCAACGAGGACGGCTCTTTTATCGGAGAATACTCCGGACGCAAGGAGAGGGTCTCCATGGAAATCAAGGGAAACAATCAGAGCACAGCATAATGGACCACGGACAATTTATTTTGTTGGACAAGCTCTCACAAAAGGTCAGTGAAAAGGAAACAGAAGGATAAAAAAGCGCAACATAACGGCACCCGAAGGACATTTTTGCAATTAATGTGTTATTGTCAAACTCTCAGTCATACTCACATCATTTTACAAAGCTTAGTTTGTTTTGCGCACTGTAACTGATCAATCATGTCAGTTGTGTATACTTTTGTGGGGTGTTTTTGTATTAAATCTTTGAAAATCATTGGTGACTTTGGAGCTACCAGAAAGTTTGCTAAAAGCACACTCTGTACACCGTTTTTGCTTTATTCGTGTCATCATGTAGCCAAGCAAGTTTTATGTCAGGGTATGAACTTTGTATTTTTCGTTGGAAGCAAATATTATTGACATTTTATATTTCAGATACTGTATACTGTGCATTCATTAAATGTGGGAATATTATGTGTACAAAGGAGTTGTTGGTTAAATAATCGTAATTTCTGTCGAAATCCAAAAAGCGTAAGGCAACATAAGGGTTGACACAATTAATCACATGCTTTGTTGAACATTTTTGCATTGAACTGATTATTATTAACGGTTCGTGCTATACTAACAAGCTGCATAGCCATATTCAGTACCATATAAACCCTACAGTGAGTCTTCTGCTCTTAACCCATTAGCCATAAATCAGTATATCATCAAATAGGCACACACTCAATGTTCATATGTTAAAAAAAAAAAAAACGCCTCTTTTGCCTTAGAATGACCTTGATGTTCTGGTAAGTATGACGTAATGAATCACATTCTCATGGATTCCATGAAACAGGGTTGGAATTCCAAAATTCCACATTGGCATTAAATCCTATGAAATAGTTGTATCCATAAATGGACAATTCAGAAACAACACAAGTCCTCCAGAAAATGCATTTTTATTTGTTTTTGGAATGGCTCCACATAGAGTCAAACTCAGATTCTGTACAATGTTTCTGTAAATTCTGTTTGCATGTTGAATGAGGTTTGTGTGCAGATTTGACATTAAATTGTATCATTTTTCTTCACTCTGGGTTTGCTGAATGCAGCATCACAGCCTTTTGCATCTTGAACCTTGTGTGCTGATTAATGCCTGAACGCATGCATCCTATTGTGGTGCTTTTATGAACATGCGGAAAACATCTTACATAGCTTTCATATTCCAGGCCCACTGCTGGATACATTAAGGTAAATGCTGACTGAGGGTGACAAGGACTTTAAGAAACACTGGAGTTAACACAGCAAAAAGTATTGGATACTACAGGCAGAGTCTATCAAAAGATATATCGTAAGTAAAGATCTATAAAATAGTATATCTCTTTGAGAGCTACGCACCATAGATTCTGCTATATTCCTGGAATATGGTTTTACCAAGCATATCAGACATTGTGCTCAATAAGCTTTCATCCCAGAGGAAATCTATGTATTTGGCTGTAATGTGCTCTGTCAGGGAAATAACCTCAGTGAAAGTGTTGGAGCAGTTGGAAATGAGACAATGAGAAGAAGAACAGAGGGGTCAGCCACTCTTATGATGTGTTCAGCATATACAGATACGGCATCTCGCAGCAACACAGAGATATCAATAATACAACATTTTTTACTGAGTGAGCAGCCTGAGGATACAATAGATGAAATCCACTAAATAAAAAGCTGAAATTTTATTAGAAAGTCCAAAGATCTGCATCTGTGGAGCGGCACAATAAAATGAAAATATTTGCAACTTCAATTATAAGGTAGGAGATAGATAGATAGATAGATAGATAGATAGACAGACAGACAGACAGGCAGATATATAGATAGATAGACAGACAGACAGACAGACAGACAGACAAGTAGATAGATAGACAGACAGACAGACAGACAGACAGGCAAGTAGATAGATAGATAGATAGATAGATAAGTACATAGATAGATAGATAGATAGATAAGTACATACAGCGATAGATAGATAGATAGATAGATATATAGACAGACAGACAGACAGGTAAGTACATACAGCGATAGATAGAAAGACAGACTGGTAAGTACATACAGCGATAGATAGATAGATAGATAGATAGATAGATAGAGAGATAGAAAGACAGACAGGTAAGTACGTACAGCGATAGATAGATAGATAGATAGATAGACAGACAGACAGACAGGCAGATATATAGATAGATAGACAGACAGACAGACAGACAGACAAGTAGATAGATAGACAGACAGACAGACAGACAG